GGGTAAATGATGACGTGGGTAGGTCATCGGTGAGAGGCTGCTAGTGAGCTATATCCACCCTTAATTATTAATCTAGTTAATCTAGGTTAATCTAGGACAATATCTGATGATCGACTCTTTTAAATGAAACCAGAGAGCGTTGACAGAGAGGAGAAGGTAGAAATGACTCAGCCTGGAACTGAAAATATGGATGGAGGACAACAGTTTAGCTTGTTTGTCGAGCTAGCACCGAGCTAATACATGTAAGGCAATACAGCGTTGGCGTTTTGTTCACTGTTTCATTTAAATTTCACAAGACAGCTCAGTCTGGGACTGACGAGTGTTCTGTCCCCGTGGACCATTCAGGACACCGCAGCCTCGGCTACACTCCCTCCGACACACACCACACCACCCCGGACAGAAGCATCAATCCACCCCAGGCAGTAGAGGTGGCTGGGCGGCGTGACGTGAAAAACCCCTCGGCTGCGGAGCCTCTGGTTCTCCTGCAGCACAAGGCATCAGTCATAAAACAAACTGAATTAACTTACTTAGATCTCTAAGTAACTACTTTACTTTACTACAGACGTGAAATATTTTACAAATAAAGTATATTCATGAAATGTCAGACATTACATTTTGGATGAAATGAAAATGAAACAGGCATTGACAAAAAAGGTTGGAAACCTTAAAAACTGAAAATGATGTGACCTTTAGGGTCGTGTTAAACTAATGTGTCCTGTGCTGCAGATATCCTCAGCCTTGTAAAAACTCAGTCTGCTTATTTAAATGATGATAAGTAATCACTGTGCTGTTTGGTATCATGTCTACCACTGAAAGCCAACCATAGAAAGCTAAAGAGGGAGTTATCTCTGAAGAAAAGTGTTGGCGTTAGTAGTAAAGACTAAAAGATTGTCTACAAGCATCTTAATGTACCTGAGACTACAGCTGTGCTGATTATTTAGAAGTATGAGGTCGACAGGACTGGATCCATATTCCCTGGATGAGAACCGATGACAAAAAAAATTACTGACAAATATGAAAAACGGAAAATACAAATGATATCCAACCAGTCCAGAAGAGCTTCCAGAGAGTTTAGTGGTGAAATGCGTGTATTCTTGATGCATCTCAATAATCCAGGTAGAAAAAAACCTGTCAGATCCTCTGGACAGGCTCTTTGTTCAAACGTTTTCCTTCTTTACAAGAGATTTCTGATGCTACATTCACACTGAACGTGTTTTGAGCATCAAAAACACAACCAATGCCAAAAGTTCAGATTTTTCAATTACAACATCGGCTGCTTTGGACACTGCGCACGCACATCAAATGCTCAAATCACACCTATCGCTTTGAAATGTGCTGCGCTAAGCACACTAGATGCACCGCGAGGCTACTTGATGCCCCTAGACGCGCGGCATCCTAGACTTTGACTCAAAACGTGTTCGGTCTGAACCTAGCTTCAGTCTGAGTTTCTGGGAGAATGTCCTTTGAACAGATGAGACAAAACTGGCACAGAATGCCTTGATTTTGTGCATGGTAATCTTGAGATTTGAAGCTTTCTGGGAAAATATGTACTGCCCAGTGTCAGAAAGCTTGGTCTCAGTCACAGGTCCAACCAACAATATATTGACCCAAACACAGCTAAAAACACCCATGAATGGCTAAGAACAAAACACTGGAACAGTGGTGGACACCAGCCCGCTAAAGCGCAAATTCTCTAATTGCGGACCAAGATACTTTGGCTACGTTCACACTGCAGGCAAATCCGACCCAAATCTGATTTTTTTCTGATTGTCACATTCCCCCCTCCTCCTCATCAGGAGGAGGGGGTGAAGGATCGATAAGACACTAACCTCAAGTCTCGCTGTTAAAATCTGTAGCTCCGTGTGTTTACAGCTCCAAAACACAAGTCCAGTTGCTTCATCCTTTTACTTTACGTTAATATGATAATAACGAT